GTCTCTTTATCGAGAAAAATAATTTAAAACCTTAGCAATGAGCTCTTGTTCATTTTGATTAAATCTGTGAGGAATTTTTGCAATAAAAAAAATGAATTTTGTTTGACAGAAATTTTGACATTGATCGATGTCTGCCAATAAACTTATAATCCCAAATCAAATGACAACGACAATTACTAAAAAGAATACGCAGTAATTTACGGAATGCCATAATGACGTCACCAATCTTTCATCTGGTTGTCAAGTGATTATATGACGTGACGCTGAACGATGGTTGAACATTCTATAAATAACTACTTCTTTAACTATACGTAACATAGATAGCATACCAACGTGGAAAGTGTTATAGACTAAAAATTAGAGCAATTAACTCGGTAATTAATAAGTGTGTTAGTGTTTTAAATTTTTATTTTTTAATCCCTTAACAAAATTAATTTCCTTTTTTAGTTTATTTAGGTTCGTATTTACAATTTTTTAGCGAAAATTTCATTGCTATACTGCCCCTGCACAGATAAAGTCATTGTGTGGATCCGTTTCATTTTCAAGAGTAAACATCGTAAAATTAATAGAAAAGCATAAAGCAAATGAACTATGTAAGGAACTTACTGAGTATCGGTAATTCTGGAACACCTGAAAAAACAACATGAATCAGCTGGTCCTAGTCTCTTTTACAGATTCACTTTTCAACTAAGAACATCCATTTAAAACATATCTTTTTTACAGAAAAAAAATGGCGAGGCATAGCTTCCCAACAGCAAAATGTAACATGACTAAATTAATGTCTAACAACTGACCAAACAAGCGGTTTTTCGTATTTCGGGTTAGTTTTAAATGGTAAGCAATGAGTAAAAAAGTTAAACAAAGTCACAAAAAATAAAATGCGGAATATATAAATTTTTATCGAGTACCACTCGGATTTGTAATCGCCAACAAGCTGGTTTCATTAGAAAAGAACACAGAACTAAAACGTGACCGAATATAAAAAGGGGATAAAAACAAAGTAGGGAAGTTGAAGGTAATCAAAAAATAATAAGCAAATGATTAATAAAACGAATATCATGCATTTTCAAGCATTATTATTACAAATAGTAGCGGTGATAATAATACATACACCTCTGGATTAGAACAATAAAGGTACACAATTAAATCAATATAAATCAATGGAAAAATAAAAGATTTCATTTTTGTAACACTATAAATGGCAAAAATGTGACCAACACCTCATTTTAGCTAAGCGTGATCAGCAGCCTAAAGGCACTAGATTATTGTAAGTTAAGATCGAAGGTGGCTGGCTAGCTGATTACGCACGCTAGCACAGTCTTTACTGAACCTAACCTGAAACACACAAAATATTCCTCTAGTAACTCACAGATTAACTAATTGTTTTAGTGAGGTTAGGTCAATAAAAACGATGCTTCGGCCTTTAACCAAAACTACTAGCAAGTAAATTACGAGCCTCAGTACTTTCTATCCTGTCTAGTAACATTGTAATCCTACTTAAAAATGCAAATAACGCTTTTTCTTTAATATTATCTTTCGTTAATATATGTATATATTAATTAGGGTGCACCAAAAAAAATAGTTTTTGTTTTATTTTAAGTTACCGTGAAAATATCGTTCACAATGATGAAAAAAAATCTGGTAAAATTTGAGCTTTTAATAATAATAATAACACGTGAAAAATATTTTATTTTTGTTTAATTTTATTGCGTCTAACAAACCAGCATTTTGTAAATATCAATAAATATTCTTGTAGGAAATTGAACGATCTTCAAATAACAGGTCTGATATAATTTTTCATTTAATCGACTCCTTTGAAAGTTATTAAGGGTATAGCAGGTTCAGTTAATAAAAAAATTATTATATAAATAGCTATATTTTCCTTTGTGTACGGCAGCTTTTCATCAATAGAGCAGTCATAGGTTCGTTTGTATTTTACTGTAGGAAATCAAATTACACTAAAACTAAAAGTATTGGACGCCATGCAAGATACAAAAAATACGTAGTCGTAGTCGTAGTAAAAATCGTAGTTAAAAAAATGACTATATTGAATCAGGATGATTCCTAATTGATGTAATTAATATTGTAAAATTTTTGTTAGGTTATGGTAGATAAAAATTTAATAATTATAGGAAAACATAATCTGATTAAAGCAAATAAAAATTACAGAAGGTAAAAGAAGAGGGTATTGAAAAATTATTGGACCATGGCCTCTAATATCTTAGAATACATAAAATCAAGTGTAAATAAGACATTTAACCAAATAAAATATTATTGGGTTACGATTTTTTACGAAATTACTGTTTTTTAAGTCCTTACTCAGGTGAAAAAAAAATGAATGCTACTTAAGATTAAACATGATATTTTTCTTATGATTATTTGTATTTCTTAAAAAAATCAATGTTTTACCAAAAAGCACTTCGTGAACTTTACGAAAAATAGGATATTTTATGATTTTGACCATTATTTCGTGATAAGGTTGAACTTTAAACTTCGATAACTGTCAAACGAGTCAATTAAATGAAAAATCATGTCAAACCTTTTTTGAAGACCGTTCAATTACCTAGAAGAATATATATTGATTTTTACAATACGCTGATTTGTTATAATTTTTCTTATGATTATTTGAATTTCTTAAAAAAATCAATGTTTTACCAAAAAGCACTTCATGAACTTTACGAAAAATAGAATATTTTATGATTTTGACCATTATTTCGTGATAAAAATTGTTGAGCTGAGGTTTAACTTTAACCGTCGATAACTCTCAAACGAGTCAATTAAATGAAAAATAATGTCAGACCTTTTTTGAAGACCGTTCAATTCCCTAGAAGAATATATATTGATTTTTACAATACGTTGATTTGTTAGAACGCAATAAAATAAAAAAAAAATTCTCCGTGTTATTTAAATGCGAAAAAGAAAATCACGCTCAAACCTTACCGGAACTTTTTCATCATTGTGAACGATATATTCATGGTAATTAAAAAAAATAATAATTATTTTGTTTGGTGTACCCTAATATGTAATTATGAATCTAAGTCAAATAGACAAATACTTATTATAATGATTTTCTTTTTTTTTAATACATGCATCACAACTTTACGTACTTTCAGTACAAGTAAAATTAAACTTTTTATCATTAAATGCTACCTAATAAGACACATCATTTAATTAAGATTATAGGGTAATACATCAATATACCATCTAAACTCTATCATATTATATCTTACAATAAAAAAAATCGTGGCACTATCTTGAACAAAGAACAAACATTTAGCGCTTCGAGCATAATTTTAAAGATTTTTTCCGTATTAAATTAGCCTAAAAAGCAATCGAAAGACTAAGAGCAATAACAGGATTAGTAGAATTCCGAATAAGCAACTGGCATAAGTGGTGCTATTTTTAAGTACAGAGGAACATAGGTTACGGCAAGTTTTCATGGAAATCTACTAAAAAATTGCACTCTCTAAACAGACAAGCCCTAAACATTTGCTCTATATACAAGATCAGCACTGCATGAAAAAACAAATGACACGAAATAACGTAGGTGCTACATTTGTGCTTTGGAGATCGAAATCAGGAAGACAAAGAAGTTAGTAGTAGCCGTCGCGAGGAGGCTAAAACTCAAAACTTTTTACATCGAATTTTAGACATTAAAAAGAAAATACATAATATGTATATAGGAACATATATGAGCCAAAATGTGTTCTGCCTGGGAACTGTATATACGGACAACGAAACTAAGACACAGAGTTTTTGGAAAAATAAAATAATACAAAATAGTGTTTTAGAATATAGCCCAACCCAAAAGACAACCAGTACAAAGTGTTTTATCAATATTGACTCTTTACTTTGAACAAACCATGCAAAAACACATGTAATCCCCATGCATTTTGGAACCTGGACAACAAAATTGACTATACAGTCAATAGTAAGGAAAGGTATTTAAAAAAATCATAATTTTTGAATATATGTACTCGCTCTTGAGCTAGTTACTTAAACTTAATTAAACTTTTACTTTTAATAATTTTATTTTAGCTTTAGTGTTATATCGAATGGTTGTTTTGTACTCTAACTTCAAAAAACACCCTGTACAATCATTTCGTCAGCAAATTTTCCTCATAACGCAATATGATATACGCAGCCTCACTGGCAGTCACTTGGACGTCTCAAGCAGCCAAGAGAGGCAATACAAAGTATTAGGATATTTCTTACAAGTTTTTTTCCGTTTGTATGTTTGTTTATTACAGATGTTTTCTTTAATATCTTTAGTTCTGTTATCGTTATTAATATTTATTGAGACCAGGACTGTATTATTACTTTTTATCATTTTTTAATTTAGCATAGTGTATCCAATACAGCGTAATATGACGTTAAGACAATAGTAACCAAAACCACCTCATCATATTGAAAAATAACATAAAAAATGATAATTGAAAAATTTGCAAATTGTTGGTGGCAAGTTCTGACCGAAAAATAATGTTTTAGGAAAATTTGCTCAAAATTATTGCACCCTTCGATTAACCCTGTATAATAAGCTAAATACAAAAATTTACGAATTAAGTTGATATATTTATATACAGTTTGATAAAAAATTCATGAAAATATGGCTAAAAATAAAAAAAATATATATATTACTTGAAATTTGACGAAACATTTTTCCGTTTTGTTTTTTTTTTTGCATCTGAATTTTAATATGTTTTAATGCTGAAGATATTTAATAATAACTGTATGAAATAGATTAATTTGACTGTATGGCCAATACCTAATCAACACGAGGTAGATCTTTTTGGGCTAGTTAACAACATACTACAAAAACTTCAAAAGGAAAAAATAATGGCACTTTCTAACAGATACGCTTATAAGGTTCTACCATGCAATTTGTTTAGGCTCTCAAATAGTAACTTAATTTTTTCTCAACGTTTGATCGTGTATATTTCGCCATGCAAGTAAATAATGATTCTGTTCTCTCGATCAACGTCTATTACAGTTAGAAAAGAGAGTAAAATACAATCGGCCTATGGGAATGTATATCCACCAAAAATTGCATTTTTGTAGGAGGAATTAGTAGGGGAGATGTGTGTTGAGGAGGTCTGAGATGGGGGAGAGGCGTTAATAGCGGTGCAAGTAGCGGTTGTGAGGGTATCACAGTATTATCACATAGCTTATTTAACACCAGCTGATTATCTCGCATGTTTTAAAAAGCTTACTCTCAGCTACAAGTATAAGATATCCACGGACATTGCTGGATAGGAATAGCATCAATTTTATCACTCTAAAGTAGGCTGAAGATGACCTGCTGGTATTAAAAAAGCTGTGGTATGAGGCACTCGCTTACCGAGACGACACGGTCCATAGTTTAGTTTAATCGAACGTTTGAAACCACGAATTTGACTAGAACTGTTCTAGGTTCCATTATATAAAAACAACACGATAACTCTTACGAAATAACGAACATATTAATAATACCATTAAAAAACGAACAAACAAAAACTATTAAAAAGAAACAACTCGCGTAATTTTGAATTACCGAAACAAAAAATTATTTTTTTTTGGCTAAATTTTGACATCACTACTTCATATTACACTACGAAAAAAACGACAATATAATATAGTTAAAATATATACAGGGTATCTTGATTAGGCTTCTTTCTCTTAAGAGGAAAAAATTAAGTAGAGTGATCACTATATTTTTTATATACATTTTGGTTACTTTTAAAGCTTTCAATAGTACGGGTTGTTAGACTAAATTTAGATAAATATAAAAAACTTATTCTAGTATGCTTCAATATATTTATTGCACAAGTAATTTTAAAAATATGTGTTTAAAAATATTTAACTTCAAAAATTAACCATAGTACACTAAAAAGGGAGTGGACTATGCATATAAAGAAAGTATTTTGTAGATAATCTGTGTAATTTTTCTTGATATAAGATGATTCTTCATCATGAGATTTGAACAACTTCTATTTCATAATAGCTGGTAATATGATACACCAGTTCTAAATAGATATACAATTAAATTGATATACCGGGTTGTGCATCGTCTTGGGACACAGAAAATCCCATAAAAATTTTGAACTGTTCAAATATTGGCTCCCTGTTGATTTTATAGCGTCATAAATAGTTTTTTAACGATCTGCGTATGCCGAATACACTTACCAAATTTGAACAGGAAAATTTTAAGTAATTTAAGAAAAACTGCATTTATTTTTAAATAAAATCTGAATAGGTGACAATGCAAAATCAGGCAAATGTCAATATACTTTAAGTTATCGATCTATGATTTTGTCATTGTCAAATGTAATTTGTTGTACTGTGTACAACTACTACGTCTATATAAAACACGTTTGACGCTAAACAACACAAAACAAACAAGAAATACAATTCAACATTTTAAATAAAAATTTTAAAAACATTTTGACTATAAAAATTATTTTTTTCTTTGGTCATTTTACAAAACATTGTCAAAATTAGTCATTTTTTTAATCCTATGAGCCAAGCGGACAAAGTAATCAAAATGTACACATATACCGTTATTCATTTGACGTTCACAACGTCACTTGTCAACGAAATGACACCTACAAGACACCCCGCACCCTATTAAAAACAACACGAATCAAACACGAAATTAGGAAACGACATCATATATTATATAAAATAACGAACTATTTCCGTTTTTAAGAAGTTTTAAGTTTCTTGTAAGGCTGCACGTTATTATTGTTCTGCGCGGCAGCCGCTACTATACTCGCGGCGCTGGGCGTTACTGTAGTCACCGGCGCAGCCGAAACCGTAACCGGATACTGCGCGCCCAACAGGCTCCCGTTAAAAATCGGCGAAGCCGTCACCGTCGTGGCCCCAGCGTTAGTATAAGCCGTAGCGGGACGCATTATCGAATAAGGATTCAGTTGAAAAGCTGTGTGAGGCGCCGCGCGCCCGATACCGAGCAAATTCTGTTGTTGCTGAGCGATCGCAGCCGAATACGAATTGGCTAGGTTAAAGTTAAACCCGGCCCCGGCGGCGCTAGTGAAACCGAGAGGCAAAGCAGTAGGAGGGTAGCGCAAAGCGGTCTGCGGAATGCCCAAAGCCTGTTTGTTCAAAGCCACTCCTGTGTAATTTAGAGGATTCAGAGGTGCCATTTGCGACTGATGAGCCAGCGACTGGTTCATCGCGGCCAGTTTAACAGCTTTAGCGTAGTTTTGCTGCGCGACTTCCTTAGCTAACGCGGCGGGGTCAGTATACATGGGTTGTGCGCCCGGTAAGCTAGTCATACTGGCGGGGGGAGCTATGGAAGCAGCTGCAACGGCAGCAGCAGCCGCGGCCTGAGATGACAGCTGCGATTCGTTTTCTTTCGAAGCAGGTCGAGGAGGAGGCGGTTGTGCGTGTTGTTGCTGCTGCTGTTGCTGCTGCTGCTGCAGCTGGTGCGCCATGACGGCGGCGGCAGCTGCGGCTGCGGCGGCCGGGTGCGCGGACGCAGCCGCTTCGGGGATGGACGGCGAAGCTGCGGAAGAGGGGGGAGGAGCGGGCGAAGTGGGATACTCACATGACACGGGCACGAATGGCTGCTGCAGCTGCATCAGCTGCTGATAGGTGGTGGCGTTCGGCTGGTATACGGGCACGCCAGACTTGTCCGCTGCCGGTCTCTTGTACGGGACCATGCCCGCTGGGAAGGCCTGAAAAACAATACAATAATGTCTTGAAAATCCTTAAATTACAATAAAAATAAACGTAGTATGATATAGAGATAAAAATGTTTCAACTATAACATATCACCGATACTAAATAAACATTTAGTTACATTATGACACTTTAGTTTTGTATTACGAGCGTTTGGTTGAAGTGAATTGTGTTGTGATACTTTAACCTTTAACATTTTTTACTAGCAGACCTTATAGTCAAAAATTGCTCTTTTTAGAACCGCATTTAGTGCAAAGTGTACAAGATGCCGAAGTAGCTTAACAGCCGTTGCAGAAAACTCATCTCATCTTTATTGGAATATTTTAAACGGAAAAGTGGTAGTATTGGCCCTTTATGTCCCTTAAGCGCTGGTAAGGAGGTGAGTTTTTTTTTCCTAAAATATTTGATTAAAAGAGGATATTTAAAAGTCAGCAACTCTGTGCCTGTCAAGCTTAATCGCGTGGCTAAAAGTTTATTTGCTATGTTCTATATATAAATATCTTATTCATTTTCTTAAATATTTAAGTGATTGCAAAATAAAACACTAAATCACCACAATACACCAAAATCTGTGAGTTTTAATCATCTGCTGATGATGCTAACATGGCTAGCGAAACGCGTGTCGAGTGTAAGTGTTTTTGGTGTATTGTGGTGATTTAGTATTTTATTTTGCTGTTGTAAAATCAAAGGTTTCAACCCCCAACTGTAATATTTAATTGATTTTTATTTAATATTTTAAATTGTTTTTAGAAGGTGAGAATATCTTAAAAACCTTGTTAAAAATTTAATTAATTTTTATTTAATAATTTAAATTGTTTTACACAAGGTGAATCTTAAATAAGTGCAAATATTTTTAGTGTGGTGGGATATTTAATAATTATTTGGGATAAACATAATATAAGAAGAATTTAAAATAACTCAATACTACCAAAAATAACTAAAATAATACTTACAAAATTGTCATAATAAAACGATCCAACAGATTTCATGTCCATCTGGAAGAGAAATAAAAAGAAACGATTAGTCCCCGAAAATAAAGCATTTTTCCAGACCAAAATGCATTCAGTCGTTTAAAGTAAGCCAAAAAACAACGAATACATTGAAATATCCATTAAAGTTAAAAAATAAAAAAAAACTTAATCTAATATTAGACTACGTCATAAATGCTATTATTGTAACAACAGTGACTGTACACTGCCATCGTTTAAATAAATAAATAAAACAACAACAAAACAATAAATTAGATTATATAACATATATTTAAAAGTATGGCTTTGTTGCTAGGATGTTGCGAGTTTCAGCGAAATTCATAATGTAGTACACTTCAACGACAACAAAACATTATATCAATACCCATGAAATTATGATATAAATCTTGAACATCTTCTATTACCTACCTATTTAAAAAAAACTTTTATCAAACCTTAATCGAACATCAACGTGCATAATTATTTAAGCAGGAAAGCCTTCTTTGTGTGCATTGTTTCGTAGAAATATTATTTAAAAAAAAATTCTGGTTAGGAGTCTCATGGTATTACCAATATAGAGGAAAAAAATATATGTGAAGTGTTTACAATTGGTTTTTTTGCCTACCCATTTTGTGTGGATGGAATGAAGCAATATAGTACAGCCACTCACAACATGCTAACAACGTTTTTAGAGGTAGCAGTTCGGCTTGTCCTACAATAATGCAGCTTTTAAGTGTCTGTGGTTTGGAAATGCTTTTCCAATATCCAATATAAAGGAAATGTTGATATTTCTAACATATTTCTTTGAATTTTACAAATGAATTATCTCGATTTTGCAAAATAAAGCGAAAAAAGCTGATACATACAGAGTCATGTCATAAGTAATTCATTCTATACTTCGAATTAAAAAATATGTTGTTACATTACTTATGTCAAGCCTTTGTAGTAAATAGTATACTTAATCAATAAAGCAAAAAAATACAGTGGGATGTAATATAAAAAAATGATCCAAAAAACCGGTCATTTGGGTAAAGTAGTATAAAAATATATACAAAAGTTAAGCCATTATATTGTTAAAACACGAATGTTTGTGCACTAGCGAAAAGCATGTCATTTAGACATAAGCACTGGTACTCTTTCATATAAAATCAGCATTTGTGTGGTCAGAGAAAAAATATATCAGACTTGGGTAACTAAAGAAAGCAAAAATTTACAAAGCTGTCGATTTGCGTGGATTAAACTGGACTGGATTCCCGTAGATCGCTGAAAATAATGTAGTTAAGACACAAACCACTACCAATTTTAGTGTGCTCTTGTGTTAGGTACTTGGCTACAATATATCCTTACGGTTATTAACATGTAGTACTCCGAGTTATTTTTTATACGTCATGAAGATTAACAAAAAATTGTAAGGAAGTGTAAACCATACACCTTAAGATTGTGCAGGAAATTTTTTTTTTAAAATTAAATATGTATATTTGTAAAAGAATGACGAAGTTGGGCAAAAAATGTTTTATTAGCAGTAAAAATGATACTTCTCGTGTCGAGGCTGTACGTTTGACATTATAGGCGGGGCACAAAAAGTCATTTTTACTCCTTAGAACATGCAATTTTTTTTTCAAACGCCACAAATATTTTTTTAAACAATTTCAAACGTTTCAAATAATATAAAAAGTAATAATTAGTAAGTACATACATACAGGGTGGTCCAAACTGTATTCCGGAAACTTCGGAAGCATGTTTTGCAGATAAAAATTAGTAAAAAAGTTCGTATAAATGTATATCCTAAAATGCTTAGTTTCTAAGATACAGGGTGTAAAAGTTTCATTTTAATTGCGATTTTTTCCAAACCATTTCTGAAGTAACGTCAATATTTGGATAAAAATGGTATTTTTGACAAGAGAAATTTAATTGTGATGTCAGTATGAGTAGTGAGCGCCACCTACATATTTTTAACTGGCTTGATGAGTAATAACTACCTGTATAAAACTATTGAGTAAAAAAAATATACATAAAAAAGATCTCTTGGTAAAAATCGCTTCGAGTAATGGCTTTCGAGATATTTGGAGTCTAAATTATCAATACCTGTCATCACCGACATAAATTAAACATGTTGACTAAATAGTTATTAGACCGAAACCATAAATTTGAAATGTTTTTGTGCCAAGAGTTCAACAGAAACGAAGAGAAATTTATGATTAATTAAAAAAAAAGTTTTCAAATTTATCATATCAGTCAAATAACTATCGACTCAACAATCTCAAAATATTTATTTTTTGTCAATAATCACATGTACTGACTATTTCCATTCTAAATATCTTGAGAACGGTTGCTTGTAGCGATTTTTACCAAGAGATATTTTATACGTAAAAAATCACGGAAGTGTATATTTTGTTACTCAACAGTTTTATAGAGGTACAAACGAAAAGTTATTAGTCTTCAATCAGTTAAAACACAGGTAGGTGGCGCCCTCTATAAATAGGAGTCATATTGATATCAACATCAACTTTTTCATGTCAAAAAACTCCCAGATAACAATTTTCATCCAAATATTTACGTTACTTCAGAAATTATTTGGATTATCATTTTTGTACTTTTGTGTTTATGCGGAAAAGTAATTTTCTCTTATGCTTATCTTTTTATATTGTCAATTATGCCGCAAAAACTAATTGTTTTGTGACGTGTGAAAAAAATGAACTTTTTGTGCTGCCTGCAACATCGGTCAAACGTACAGCCCCATCAAAAATGAATCATTTTACTCCTAATAAAACAATATACTATCCTAATGTTAACCTCTAGGTAACCATGAGGATACAGAGCAGCCCCAAAAAAACTGAAAACCAAAACTAAAGAACGAACCAAACAAACGAAAGGAAAAAAAAGTCTTTATATAGTCATGCAAAGCAGGCGCAAAAGGTACCAGTAATAGATCTGTGTCTGCGGCGGTGCTAGGCTCGCGCGGTCTCTTCTTGCCGATCTCGAGGGCGGCGGCTGCGGCTGCGGCCGCTGCTGCTGCGGCTGCTGCGGCCGCGGCGGGCTGCGCCAACAACGGCGATACTGCGGTGGCGGCGGGCTATTAGTGGGTAGTGGGTAGTAGCGGCCAGCGCAACAAGCACGACACATCCGCGCGCAGCACCGGGAGCGCGTGGAGGGGAACAAATAAAAAACCAGCACTGGATTAGTGTCGGGTGGTGGCGAAGCGTTACGCGCAGCAGAGGGTAAGGCCTGGGGCACAGCTCGAGGCGCATGCAACACTACCCACGCAGGGCAGCACAAGACGGGCTTTTGTATTATAGGTTGGGCGCAGAGATATGGAGAGAGGAAGAACGAGCTTTCGATGGGGGCGCATCCAAAAAAAAGCTTATATAGAGAGTAGATAAATAAGCAATAATATCACCTGAAAACTTCTAATTTGTTTGATTTTATTGGTGGATTTTTATGGTACTAACACTAGAATGTAGAATGTATGGAAGGGGGTTAATCACCGCGACCTTACAGATATATTGTGTCCCTCTTTCTTGAGTTATAACTAATCATACAGTCTCAGGGCTTTGACGAAACTCAGTATCTCAGACGGTTTTACAGAGGGTAGCTTTTCATCTCCGATGTAAGTCGTACCAAAGTTTATGGCATGAAAGTCATCTCGCACTCAGTAATAAAGCGTTCTGGTGTTTCCCCATTTCATTTTATTTTATTTCATTTTTAGCTTCAATCTACTGAGGTGTTCGTTGAGGAAACAGTGTCCTGTTAAAAACCCCCTGATAATCCGACGATTGTTCTTACTTAAATCAAGAAATACCTCCGATTTTTCTTGATCCAGGTTCTTAAGTTGGTTGGTAATCCGCTTTAAGTTGGTTTCCACATGGGAAGTAGAACAGTTTTGATCCAGTTAGTGGAGTGTTCTACGCACGTTCAAGCTCATTCTCCCTACCTCTATCTCTTTGATCGAGCATTGAGTATCCGCATATTTAAACGCTGTGACTTGTGCTGTCCTGCCAAAATTGCATGGCATGTGTCTCAATGCGCACCAGGCCTAAATGTTATCTGATGCGTGTACGCGTTTTAAAGGAAATTAAATAATAATTGTGAAATATATTCATCTAGATTTATATAACCTCCAACTCATATCTCTTCATAAGCAATAATCCTATTTTAATTTTTATTATCATAATATATTGAACCAGTAACAACATACATATTACAGATATATTTGTACTAAAATTACTACTAATATAGTAGTAGTACTTTAATTTGATAGATTTGATTTTTTAAGAATAAAATTTATATAAAATAACTTAAAGAGTTGTAAAAAGAAACATTCCATTTGATGGCAAAATTATTTGAAAGTATAAACGATCTAAATCATCATACGTATGATATATAAAGTTAGGGACATATTTTATAACAGTTTTTTAAGAAGTCATTATAAATCAAATAACATTTTTCCAAAGTCTTTAAAAATGTTGAACGTTTGTACTGTTGTCAGTTAGAACAAAAAATCAGTTAATAGATAAAAGTTGAGTTTGAGTTGGTGAAAGTTAATAAATCTAAAGAAAGCATTTTTGAAAGAAACCATGTAAAAAAAATAAAAGTAAGGGACGCAATCGAGGTTTATACAGCACTGGACTTTCATCAAATTTATTAGCACTCTTCTGTCAACTTCAAGCATAAAATATGTTTGTAGTAAAATACGTTTTTTAGTTAGTTCTCGCTCTTGAACATTATTTTTTAAGAAAATAGTACTAATTAATACCGTAAGATCGTATATTGTATGGGAGTTGTGTCCCCCTTTCTTGAGTTATAACTCATCACACAGATTCAGGGCTGTGACAAAATCGGCGAATGCAGATTCTGTGGTGAAAATGGGGAAACACCAGGACTCCTCATCAGTGAGTGCGCCAAGACAACAATCATTCGTGCCATAAACTTTGGTACGACTAATATCGGAGATGGAGAACTAACCTCTGAAAAACCGTCTCAGATACTGGTATTTGTCAAAGTCCTGAGACCGTATGATGAGTTATAAC